CAGCTTAGAGAACTCAACACAATCAAGAACGTCCGCCTGAGCTACAAATAATCTCTATCAATGCAATGGTAGACACTAAATAGATTACGTTTCGTATGGATTGTATATTTAAAAGATGGCCATTTTAGTTGCCAAATGACAAGTTTCTCAGTTTTGTTAAAAACTCCCTTCTTAATGTGGTCAGTCAGTCTTAATTGTAGAGGCTTGAAAAATGGTGACAGGTTTTTATAGACACCAGCATTTTTCTGTGTATATTTACTTCAGTATCAGTAATATGTGTAGAAAACATAAATCACAAATGTGCTGAATGAAGTTCGCACGTGTCCCTGAAAATAAAACGAAGGGTTAACTTCATAGCATTTCAACCATAATAGGACCCGAAGTCTGCTGCTAGCGGAAACATAGAATGATGCAACAAATTGGTTTGCACGAACTCGTTATAAAAGCGAAGCATAGAAATTTTTTGCATTCACCTAAATACTACCTACTGAAACTTAGTAATCAAAACGGCAATACGAATCCGTAAGTCAGTTGCACATGATAAATTTGGATGTTTATCACAGTTCACTGTAGACTGTTTTCAATCGTTGTAAAGACAAATTCTGGCATTGATGGATGAGAATACACAGACGATTGAAATTAGGCATATGCTGATTTAATTCAGAGGCCCCAGCATTTCCGGTCAAATGTAAGTAGGCAAGCAGACTTAACGAAACGAAACATGTTGCAGCATTTCCGAAACACTAACTTTAGGACGAGCTGTTGTGATCACCATGATCACTCCCATCTACTACTGTGTAACAATGGTGTTTTTATCTTTCCCGGTGGAAAGCGTAAACATTTTTCCTGAAAAATCGTGAATATATTAATTTTAGAAGCACTACCTATTTACCTATTTAGGACTGTACCAAATGTTTTGAAATATTTGGTTTGCATAATATATGTGCGATAAATATAGAATACGACGCTAGAGCACCAAATTCAAATCGAAATTTGCTCAGTAATCATGTGCACATTCGCGGGGTAGGCGATAAGATGCACCCATTGTGTGAGAGTTAGTGACACCAAATGGCATCTCTCTAGGCGGAGTGAAGTTTAGAGAGACAGATACGATCAACATAAGAGTTGGTACTACTGAGTGATGGTCCACGCTACCACGTCTCGTATTAGCACACCAATTGAGAATGCACCAAGATGAAAAATAAAGAAAGCAGTCTGTGTTAAAAAGCCATCAAAAAAGGGCTAGGAAAGTGAGAAAATACTGAGATGCAGTATGACCATTAGGAAGAGAATAATGTACGGATATATCTACGCCATTCATATTGATCATGATTAACCACTACGTCATATACGATTGACTTATTTCCACTTCTTACCATCCTATAGTGTTTTAAAGCTTCGAACCGTTCCCTTTATTCCTTTGTCTTTCATCTTGCTCAGTTGTGTTCTGCTGTACTGATGTGAGATATGATAAATTGAACCGTAAAGCTGTAATTATAGGCCCGATATTGATATTGCTTTGACTGACAGTATGTATTGTTATTCACCACATATTTTAGACATTTTCCGTCGACATTTCTCAATGTAGGTATACATACTTAGCGTAAATATTGAGGAAGATAATATTGCTACACTAAAAAATTTTATCGTCTGTTAATTAAGATACATAGAGGCTGGATGATACATTGTAGTCATACTGATCTATCGAGACTTGCCCTAACATTGGGCTAAAAAATTAATGCTACCCCGTAGTTGTGTACAAATACTGAATGGTTGCTCAGACTCACATGAATGAAATGTTTTGTATTTGAAGCCATCGAGTTTATCATAATGTGACACTCCCAGCCGATAGCTGCTACCTCTGATGTGGTGATCGTGCTTACATACAACAGTGACCTAACGTGCTGCGCTGGTGGAGTACTTGTTCGCTTGAAGTCTTAACATACCAGAAAGGTTTGCTGGATAGAGGCAAGACTAAAAGCAATTAATCGTTATAGTGCGAATCACTACGGTGATGGAGGTTCGAGGGCCAAGTCAAGTTGTTGGTTGGACGGAGGTGTGACAAAAGTAAGCTGCTTCCTATGGATGATCAGCAGTACCATTCTGATACTGCCTTCCCAGTGAGATAGGTGGGTTAGACAAATGTCTGTCCCGAAAATACCACACTTCTCCATAACCCACGGTAATCCGGTGCTGAGAGCTGCGCGGTTACTTATAATTAATACAAAACCATTTTCTCTCTCAGGTGCCGCAAAACGTAACCCTTTATAGTTTACGTAACCAATAAGTGACAATCATCCTCACAACTCAGTATTCAAGCTCCTTCAGACTATTATCTATCTATCTATCTTCGCCTTTTAGTCTTTCTCTACATCTCTCGGTCAATATTCCTACATCATCTTAAATCTCTTTCAAATTTGCAGCTCACGATAACAATTCCAGTTCGCAGACAAAATCAAAAAAAGAACTGGAATTACTGCATGACGGCCCAAGATACCACACCATATCAGCAAATCAAACGAGAGTGCACTGAGGTGAAGGAAAAACAAAAGAACGAAAGCAGTCAAAATGGTTAAAAATCAAGGGCAATAAGAATGAGAAAATACTGAAATTTAGCATGGCCATTCAGGTGCGGATATTTGAATATATCTGTGCCACTGAAATCGATTCTGAACCATGCTACCTAGACTCCAACCACTGGTTTTTGTTGTCACGTGGACTCCAAGTAGGAAGTGTACATTTACTTACATGAATCGGGCCAATAGTCAAAGACTTCATGTACTGATAACTAAACTCATCCTTAACGTCTTCCTAACTGCAGACAGTGAGTGTGTAAATAGCGGTTACAAGGAGACAATAAAGAGTTTCAGTACTCTTTTTGGTTCGTATTGTGCTCTTCAAACAAAACAGAGCATAAGCGATTGTCAACTGCGATTCAGTCCAGCAGTGCACTATTTGCCTTAGCACACAAAGTTATGCCTACACGTGCAAAACTGAGAGAACTAGTCATTGAATTTCCAGAAACTCTACGTGTAAGTCTTCCGGACTCGCCATATTGAGTAGAAGGGGTTAGCTGAATAACAGCACTTGCGTTCTGTATGTATATCTCGCAATCACAGCACATATTCAAGCCACGAGATGTAGGTTTCGATCAGTGGAATTTGTTGTTTGATTTAACAGGGACATTATAAACCTCAATGTGTAGCTTGGAGTGTGGTTTCAGAAGACAATAAATGCTGTTCCATGAATTCGGATTGTTATCAAAAGCTGAAAAGCTGGAAAAATAAAAATGAAGTAGGATTTTCGCTCGAGACTTGAAGGAAGATTAGAAAGATGTGAAAGGTCCACAGAGACCCGAGATAACTAGAGTGCTGACAGAGTTGCAAGGAAAGTTGACACTTCCTCGCTGTCCACACCGTGGGAGACCACTTCTTCATGAGGCGCCTGAAAAAGAAGCGTTAGTGTGTGACCACTAAGCCGAAGACACATCTGTTTCACCCCGATCACGAGACCTTTTCAGAAGTTTTGGGTTTACGTTTGTTAGTTTCGGCCTCAACTATGAGTCCATATCACTGGCAGCGGTATGCTACGGGGTATGCCACTTTTAAGGTTGACCTTTTCTACTCCCTACAGATAAGAAAGGTAACATCAACAGAGTGCTTTTGGTCATCCATGAGAGACACCTTACGCCCATCCTTTCAACAATACAACTTGACCCTCGGATCCCCATCATGGCGTAGAATACCGTAGACCGTAACGGGTTTGCACGCACGAACCACTAGTTTAAAATCGTGCTTTTTCCAGTGAATCATTCCTGTAAGCTAATGCCTGAAACATGATCACATGTTTTACCTTCATGCGTTTACTCATTGTCTTTACTGTGACATGTAATTTTTTGATAGTTAATTGACTTCAACGATGTTTAATGAATCCTGTTACTGCAAGAGAGAACTGGAATGCTACCAGTGACGTAACTGCGTCCACACGTTATACTCATCGGCCTCAAAATATTTCAAAAGTACGTTTATCTACACGTAAAGCTAAAAACCTTTGGGAGCCATGACATATTTAGAGACTGGTTCACAGGATTTCAATTGGGAGGAGAGTGTAAGGAGAGAAACCAGCGAAGTGGCGTACCTGAAAGTGATATCTTCAGCCAACTTACGTTTCTACGCTGATTAAATGGAGTGAACAGTAAGACTAGATTCTCTGCTTTTGTATTTCCAGACGATGTTGAACTCTGGAAAGCCTTTCAGTGATGAGAATGGACTCCCCTTACAGGACGACCTGAATACTCCAGTAGGTCGATTAACGAGATGGTTCTTATAAGTCAACAACCCTAAAAGGGTAGTGCCATACCGGTTACCATGGTACACAGAACAAGTTAGTCAGTGGCCTACCTCGATTCAAAGTAGGTGAATGTAAGGACCAAAATGTTGAAGTCAGTCGTGATCTCGATAAAATCTGTAGGATGAAAGGTGTTATTTTATAAAAGACCAACTGGTTTCTTGTCTGTGCTTACTGAGTGTAATGCAGAATTGATAGTATTTAAGAGGCAAAAAGTGAGAACTCTCTACGGTTAAGGACATTGGCCACAGAACTTGAAGGTTCTGGGTTTGATTCCTGGAAAGATCACGGGTGCGCATTGCTGAAGGGTCATGTACTAGGACGAAACAACTGTTCAGTGCTCCTAGGTTTCGAAATGTCCCGCCAACTGATGCCAGTCCATGATGAGTCCTCCGTTTAGAAATTCATTTAACGTCGAGTAGTGAACCAGTGAAATATCCTACGGAAAAAGACAACCCACAATTTCTGCAAACACTACAGAAAAATGACTAGATCTCTACAGTAGTACAAACTACAAGAAACGATTTAGCTGGTTATCTGTCCTCAATCTAGTCTTAATTACATAACATTAGGTACTGGACGAAAGTATTATTTTTAATCTAACATCTGGACTTCAACAAATCATTGAGTAACGATTATTATAAGCAACTTACCATGTTGAGTGCATGACTGCCAAAAACCCTCTCACCATTTTTGAAACCAATTGCAGTGGATGTTTTTCGTTTAGAATCCCTGGCAAGCGAAAATTAGCTGACTATTTCCAACTTACGCATTAAGAGCGATTTCCATAGGTTTCCCTGGCTAAAGCAAAATAATTATAAGAGTCGATGAAGCAGAGAAAACAAACCAGAACCACTGCAACCTTCATGAACTCTGTGCCCAAATCTATTGACATAGATGATATAGCGTCTTAAGAACTTATAGAAAAGAATAGAGGACAAACCTATATAGGTAACAAACAGTAACTGCAAAGCTATGATGATGAATGCGGCAAACATTTTCGGCATTGTAAGGTTAGCCAGAATATTTGAAGCGTGTCTACAACACCAAAGCACGCGCAACAACTTGTTGTGAGACTATTGGTCAAAAGCTTTTCACCTACATCAGTAGAACGATCAAACAACATGAAAATGTAACAATGTAATTAAAAGCAAGTCTAACATTTTATGATGTAACACCCTTTATTCCTAAGGTTTTTTTCATCTAAAATAAAGAAAAATGAAGTGGGGTGTTCTGAATGCTCTTAGCTGGTTCAAATGGTTGTTGACAGCATAGAAGCTTTAGCTTAACTGGCTTCTGCGTTTAAAACCCGTGTATCACTACTTCTTGTGGTTGTTAACGTGTTTACAATTAAAGAGGGAGTAAGAAGTGAAAGTTCAATTAGTTCTGGGTATATCTCAGCAGCACGTCAAATAAGTTTCCAGTCGGCGTTTAAATCATTCATACAAAGAAGCCTGGATCACATCTACACACAGTGTCTCAGGGTTTAATAACTCCTAGGGGATAGAAGTTGTTCCTGACATCTAATCCGTTGCTTTTCGGGCCTAGTTTCTATATGTCTCCCCCACGATCAGTGGTGCAGCTAAGTCTCAATAAGTGACGTAGTAGGTGTCCAGATGTGCTCAGAATGCTGTTAATCAGTATCAAGTCTCCTCTTGACCTTCTGTGTTCTGGAGAATATAGATCCTCCACAATCAGTCGTTCTTCGTATATTTTAAACTTAACTCCTCAAACAGATTGTGTCAAGCTCCCCTGGATGTGCTCTAAGCTCAGTCCGTCATCCTGGAGAGAACGGGGGAAGACGATGGTACGGAACTCGAGGTGAGGCCGTATTAAGCTGTTGAAAATTTGGTGGAGGGATCAACCATCGACCTGTCTGAAAATTCACGCAAGAGTTTCCGCGAAATGCGTTTCTGTCACCGTTGGCATAAGATTTTAAGTCTTGGGAGACTAAGATGCCCAAATCCTTCTCTGTTAGCGACTTTTCAGATTCCATATCGTTGTGGTGGGCTGTATCATGTTTTGCACGTATCAGCTTGCATTTCTCAGGATCAAATCCTAAGCCGCTGTCGAATGGCCAGTTTACATGTTGAGTTAAATCTTCCTGGAGAGAAAAAGTCTTATTCACTTTTGATTTCTCTCCAGTTTCACATCGTCGGCAAAAAAAGGATGCTGGAAGAAACCGTTTGAGCAAATCGTTTGCGTACACTAGAAAAAAAAGACTTCTTAGTACCGAACACTGGGGAAGGTTACCAGTGCATTCTGTCTCTTCGGATATTAAGGGATCGAGGCATTCACATGAAGTGTGAGCATCAAAATTGGGCACCAAATCAAAATCTAGAAGCCCCTTGAGGGCAACTGCGCTTTCATCTGCTCACTGAGCCCTGACGCACACGTCTTCTGCATCACGAAATTTTGAGACTGTCACCAACATTGTGCTCCATGGTAGGGCCGTCACCGGTTTCCGAGCGAATTTCAGCATACAGCCTTGGTGTACCCAGTAACCCAACTAGGCTCCAGGTCTGAGAATATTGGGGACGAAATTTCTGCACCCGTATGACTGTGAATGAAGGAATCAAATCTACGGGCTCTAAGTGCGTTAGTTGACACTCAGACGTCGACACATGGTCTACCTTTAGGACACCAAAGTATTATTCGTTTTGAAACGAACAAATAGCTATACTTGGTATCAAACATTTTAGTTTTACGATCCAGTAGAACACTAGCGGATGCCGTTTGTTTCAGAAAGCTTTCCCCAACGTAAAGACATTCGCCCCTGGACACAGTCGTTTCGCTTATCCCCTCGTTAAGTAACAGACGCATATTCTGAGTCCCCAGTTCAGCCATTTATGTCCTATGCGTTACAGCTTTTCCCCACGGAAAACCTTTGACTGAAGACCGCTCTCTCATTTGCTTTTACCATATGACACTTTTTATCGCGTACTTACACCTAGATAATGTGCTGCTTGACCTCACCTAGGTAACTGGTTCACTAGTTACTAGCCGGGCCTAGGCCCGGATAAAGAGGGAAGGTTGGATATAGGGATAACAAGCCCACCCAGTGAAATGAATCCAACTGCAAGAGGGACTTTGAAGCATGAAGAAAACGTTAAACATAAAATTAAACTTATTCCTCGCCGGAATCGCAGAGGCGAATGACGCCGGTTGGTGAAAGCCTTCGGGAAGCCAATTGTTCAACATGTCTCCACCCCTCTTGATCAAAGCAAAAGTAAGTATAGGGACATGGAATGTCCACGCAATGTTTGAAGCTGGCTGGTAAGGCTGTTCAGATTGTAAAAGAAATGAAAAGATATAGCATAAGCGTGCCAGACTGGGAATCTGCGACAGCAGATGGGATGGAAGTGAACTCTCCAAACTCTTAACTGAAGGGTCAGTCATTTACTCCGATATTGTCAGCCAGACGACAACCACGAGCATAGAACACTGAGTTGTGGAGTGGCTACCATGAAGTCCCCAAGAGCATCGAAGGCTTGCAGGCAACGAGAACCGTTCTCTTCCAGGATGAGGATCGTGACAGCAAGATTCGACTCAAAAGGAAGGAAAGCCACAGTCACACAATGCCATGCCATACACCTACAAATAATGCAGATGAACGAAAGAAGGTGGAATTCTACAGACAACTGTAATCGGTAATGGACGAGACCCTACCCTAGTTGGCGATACCAAAACTCCAATGGGTGGAGTGACATGAATGCCAAAATCGGAGTGGACAACACAGAGAGAGAACGTATCATGGGTCGAAACGTGCTAGGTGATATGGATGAGAACGCGGAACCGTTTGCAGACTTTTAGATCAACACCGGCATATAGTCTGCGTAGTAGCGAGTACACCATTCTAATAAACAAGTATCGCTCAAAACGTCGATGCAGGTTTTTCATAACGCAATGCAGTATGCTGTGGAACAAACTTCCCGCTCCTCTACGAGCATGTGGGCCCCTCGGTCAGTTTCAATGATTACCTTGTCAATTTCTCCTTTCGTACGATTCTCACGAATTCGTTGACGGCCAAATCACAAACGGTAATACCACGTGCGACGGTGCTACTGGCACCTAGACTCAGGAGAGACTGACAGCAATGACAAAAGTATACAATACCGAAAACTAAATGCATAGATTAGGACGAAATCTAGTTAGAAAGAGGAAAACTGACCAGGAGTAAGGAGGAAGCGGAGTGCGATAAGACTTGCAACAGTAAACTCTATAGCTACTCTGGTGCAACCTACATTTCTTTGTAACCTAACTGATCTCAAGACTTAACATCTATTTCTTAAAGTTATTCCCTTGAAGCAGCCTCTTTACCCCTGATTGACAAATGAAATATTTGTCGGCGGATCTTCTTAGCATGTGACATGTTTTATTATTTGCCCTTTGTTATCAGCACTTACATGTAAGTCCTCTGTACCACCGTATTGTTTCTGTGGCCCTGATATGGTAACACTCAACAATCAACACCACGATCATCCATCCGTCACGACTATATAAAGCATGGTTACCATCTCAGCAAAAACCCTGAATTTTATTTAAATGTTGATAACTTCATTCAACTTTTGTGCATAGGTTTTTAACACAAGCGAACGCCTGGTCCAAAATCCTCTAATCTGCCTAGTTCGTGTTGGTATCTTTGGCTTCAGTTTGGTTTCCACTACTTTCGTGAGCACTTTCATCTTCTTCCACACAGGTTTACCTCTATATAGTTGGTTCTGGATACCTCTTCAAGTAAGTTTTGTAGTCAGCACAAAGAACTCACCCAGAAGTGTCATGATTGATCTACTGCTGCGTAGTATTTTTGTGCTCCTGCTCCAAATTTCCTCTGCTGCTCGCTTTTGTTACTTATTCTTCAGGTTTACCCAACCAGTCCCGCATCCATACGGAATCCTAGCAATCGTGTTTGTTAGTGCACCATGCCATCAAAACTTTATGACGAATATACACACCCCAAGGTCATGACTGTACTACCTGCCCCACCTTCAAGAATATCGGAAGATTCAAACGGCAGCAGAATGATTCGTAATTTCCAGCGCAGCCTGCTTCAGTATGCTGAACAATAATTTCGTGAAGCAGTAACGTTCCTTCTCTAGGCGCACCTCTTGTGTACCATGAATAACGGTATCTAATGTATAGCTAAACATAGTACAAAATAGTCATCTCTCATTACCAGAATGATCAGGCCTGTAAATTGGTCTGTATCCATGTAACTTATGATGTATGAAATATATTGTTACTGTTATGAGCATTCAACGATTTGGCAGTCATTACCCACTGCAACGAACCTTCAAAATCGAGTTGGAAGCCTTCAAAAAAGTCGGTGATAGACCACAGATCAAGTTCAACACCCAGAACAGAAACTGAAGGATGAAGCAATTGTAACAGTCAAGATCCAATGACCTTGGCCTGAACGCGGGAAATAACTAGGCGGTGCCGACTAGCACAAATCTGACTAGTTCCTGCGTTCTACTGTATAGCTTCCGAACTTCCGCAAGTGATGCACAGTCAAAGCTTGGATCGAAATATCGAAACAAGGTTTGTAGTAAATCAGTGGTAGATTCGTCACAAAATCCGTGGTACTGTCAAGGCAACAACAAGTTATATGAAAACTACAAAAATACTTCAACAGTGCCGTTGGGTAACTATACAGCCCAAAAGTTCTCGGATGCAAATACGTACTATACGGTGAAAACTGATTAAACAAATACAACTGTTAAGTGCCTGACAGTCAATAAGAATATTCCCAGCAAAAAGGATCAAAATTCTGTCTACTAGAATCAAATTAACAAACAAACGTTTCTAGTAGACAGCCAAAAGACAAACAGTCAAATCACAGTGCAACCGTAAGTTGAACCGAAGCAAAATGTCTGACTCGGTAAAACAACATCACCGTGTCAACAATCCAACGTCACGCAATAGGGAAGTGAAACATTCATGATAAGTCTCAGTCCTACAAAGCCAAATACTGAGTACAAAGTCAAAGAAGGCAGTCAAGCAACCAAATAACATCACACTAGCTAGGGTCAAAGGTACACCACCCATAACGAGGATAAAACCATTCAAATAAATGTCAATACTATCAAACAGGGTGATCAGGAGGGATTTTCAGGTCAATTTTCCGTTACAACTGCAGAGGACATAATCGCCCTCGGCAGTCATCAGGAGAAAGTGAGAGACATTGGGCAACATCCTCAAAGAAATCTACATGCAAGAACGCTTGAACCCTGTAAAAAAGATGTGAAAAGAAACCTACACAGCCGTGTTTGGAAGGAAAAACGAAGAAGACAATGAGTGGGTCTCGATGGGCATGTCGAAGTTGATAGAGGAGGAAGAAGAAGATGGTGAAGCAGAAGACGAGCCAGCGCAGTGCAGTAAAACCTGTAAAGCACTGGACAAAGAGGTGAAGAAGAGTGCGCGCAAAGACAAAAGTACTTCTACGGCACCGGCAAGTGAAGCAGAACAGGCTGCAGGTGGGAGGGACAGAGACCTGACAACATATCAAATGACCAAGTTACCGTCTGAGGGGGGAGAGAGCAGTACAGATGAAAGCAATGAAAGTCCAGGAAACTTGATTATCAAAGATGGGAAGCAAAGGAAACGATGGGCTAACAACCTCGAATAGCTCTTGAATCGACCAACACCTCCAACTCTCCCAGAAATACCACCGGCAGCCCAGCCACAGAATTACCAGTGAACACGAGTCCTCCAACTACAGACAGATATGTATGCAGTGTCGACTCTCTTGGAAATAGGTGGGTTGACACGCGGACTGAGAGGCCTCAGGCTTGAAAAGTTACGCAGAAAGTGGGGCAAGGTGTTCAAATCAAGCACGCGTTCTGACTTTTTTCGAGTTCTGCTACGCTGAAGGTTTGTTCTCGTTGATCCTAATTTTATGCGCTTAAGTAGTGACATTCAGATGTTGGCCTCAGTCCTCACATTATTCTTTTCGAAATGGCCCGAAACGGGCGCACTGCTGCGAGCCACCAGTCCTGAATGCTCTCGAGAACTACCGCACCTACTTTTGTAGAAAAATTTAGACGGTTCTTCTCCTCAGTAGCGGCAAAAGCGGGGCGCAACGGCATTGTTGTCCAAACTAACGAGGCAGCACCACCCCAACCAGCAGAAGGTCACGGCGTCAAAGCATAAACCATGATGCACTAACTTACCATGTTTGCCGAAGAAATGCCGCAAAGTACCACATTGTTAGTAGGAAGATCGGTGACGAACATGGAAAATTCCGCCAACACTGGTCAAAGTAATGGGTCGAAATAACGGGTGTTTTTTACGTGCGAGAGTTTGTGGGATGAAGTCTGGCGAATACATCACAATCCACACGGCTGCGGGCTCATTTGACTGTTCCGTTGGTCACAAAATACAACGAAATGGGTATAAGCTTACTGAAGTCTTTTCTATCCATGGAGCTGAATACCAACAAACACAATCACTGTGTGGGCATAAATCCACTGTTTTATAACAGCTGATATCTGAGGACCCTTACTGCCAGCCGAACCCAATGTATTGGACGAAAACCACAGACGTCTTGGGGGAACATGTATATTCCAGCAGTACATCGGTGGGAAGGTGAGGCAGGGACCACGTCAAACACTGAGGATATATGCAACATTCAGTCCAGAGGGATATGAGTGTTAGCCTACAAAGAGAAAAGAAGTGGGCAGCCTCTCGGGAAATGCAGTCGTCATCTAACACCTCGCAAAAAGTACCTGCTGCAGGCCGCGTGTGATATGTTGTAGGATGTCTGCCGTGAGCTCGTTTCCACTGTGACCATATGGTTTGCAAGCAATATCCGGCACTCGTGGTCATCGGCCCTGTTCCTGTACACTATCTATGTTATTCTTACTCCTATCTAAAGCTGTTTCCATTGTTGCCATTACCTCTTTGATGGCATGGTAATTAGCTGATTCCAAACCCCACGTGGGAACCCAAGGAAGCTGTAATGAATCAACTGAAATGAAGTGCCTCATCTTCAGTCACAAAGTGCTACTTTCTCAGAAGTTCCGTTTGAATGCTTATTCTCCTCAGAACAACGGGAAGCCTGGAGAAGTTCGTAAATCATCGAAATCCATCTTTTGTCACTCATTCAAATCTTAGTAAAGCGCTTCGTAAGGGAGCCCAGTAAAAGTTGGCCATGGGGTAAGAAGCTTTCAGGGCCTCAGGCAGCCTTTCTCCGCTCACTAGAAACACATAGTAGGCAGCATCTCAGGCACATTTGAATTTTGCACAGAGCGTAGTGCAGCGAGAATCAAAATAGGTCGCCTGCAGTTCCTTACATTAACAGATTATCTGAGTCCGCGAAATCCTACTCAACCTTCTATAATGACAGCATGAAAAATTAGCAAGCATTAGGTGGAGACGACAGTACACGGTGATTGGATTCCTCTACACTTCTTGTCGACAGAGGTATGCCTGTTTTTATTTCCAAGGTTCCTATACTCTCAACACCAACGTGTGATGAACTGCAAGGTACAGTGAACCAGAAACACATTAATGCAGAACGCTGCTTGGAAATCACATCTACGTGGCCCAACATAATTTGGACGCTTATAGGCAAGACCGCAGCTTTAGTCAGATTCAAAGCGCAGAGCTGCCCGTAGACAGTCACTTTTTACGAAAGGCTACTCATGTATCCTGAAGACAATTGTTGGGCTTCAGAATTTGGACACACTAATCCGATGCAGTGAGAAGTTACAAGCAACCACACTGCGCTGAATTCCAAGCAATGACTTTGAGCCGCAAACTTATTTTCCCATTTAGTGTGGGTGGAGACACTTCAGAGGACAGGAAAGGAGTGAACACAGTGAAGGCGACGACTGGTGCCATAGACAGGTGTCTCTCACAACGAACAAACAGCTGTTTGGGCAGACTTTGAAAGAAGTAGCGCCCGCTTGTAAGTTGGTATACCCGTGACGGAGGAGTTAGTCACGAAATCAGTCATGACGGGGTTAGCAAAGCGTCATCTAACTTTTATCTTCACACAGAAAAATCCCCATCTGAAGTAACATGATGAATTACCGTGCAACGTTGATATGGTATTTTATTCTTCAAGGATTAGGCCAACAACAACGAGAATTTACACAAATGTTGGTATTAATAAGCATATTTACACGAATGTTCAGTAAATATTGATACGACAGCCGTCACACTGACGCTTCTCGAGTCCATACATACCTTCAGTCATAAAAAAGCAAAACATACTTCATACTGTGATCTATTAAAAAATCATCGTCTGCTTTGCACCGCAGCTACATAAAACACCTTACATCCTACGTGTTACACTACAAGTAGAGGAGAAGTCAGTCGCCAGGCTCTCAACCTTCAAAAGGCTTGAAGATATCTGATCATGAAGTTTAGAGAATTGGGACGCAGAAACCAGCACGAATCATCTTCATATCTCGCGACTACAATCTGCTCAGTATTGAAGGACTAGGGGGATATGATTACGATTTGCAGTATCACTGGGAAGCGCCTCACTGCATAATGTTCTAAATCTCATCTAGGTAGTAATCCCTTAAGGTAACACCGCAGAAGAGCTTTTATGAATCCATCCTGCATTAACTTGACAGACGCGAGGAAGAATCGCCGATTATTCGTTCTAGTAATATGCTCACAAGCTCGAGAACAGAAAAGAACACAATAGGCCGTGCCAAAATACCGATGGGCTGAAGCAGCTGACTGGAGGATCGCGCCAGAGCAACGCAACGAAACAGGACAACACGTCGGATGGTGTGGATGTTCCCTCAGCCTGGTGAGTCCAATAGAACTATAAAGGTCGGCACCAATGTTGAATCTTTTCATACTTCAGGCTATGGTTTTGAAGACTTATCTGACTCCATAACTTACTGCAACAAAAGGATTTTCAGACGAACTGTTTCTTTTCAATCAGTTATGAAGGTCGTCTAAGCATTGTGCTCATTTTCAAGTAAGTGTGTTAGTGACTTTAGGGTTTGATTTTGCATGCAATTGGGGCTTTTTATATAAGTAGACAAAATGTCACAAGTCGTATGTTACACTGTTCAGAGTCATTAGAATTTTATCAGACCTTAATTGTAAGTGGAGTAGACAATGAGAGAGTGAAACCTTTTCATAAACCTTCCTGATTGCATGTGGCGAGTAGGGAAGTTCATCATAAATACCTTTTGTTTTTCAATAATCCCCCAATGCTTCCTCCCATTCGCTACTTTTATAACTGGTGATTTTAAAGTATGTCAAAGTAAAGAGTCCTGATCATTTGTAATTTTGTAATGGTCACATACATATGATCAAATTTTTCCCCTAACAATTCCGCGATCGTCATGCTCATCAGTAAATCGGTAGACAATTTCCTTCTCTATAGGTTTCTTGCTCGTTTTTCAGGAAATGGTTGCCCATGAGCATGCATGTCTGAGTGACAATTGCATCTCGAGCTGTTTGTTCCATTTTGGGTATTTCTCACAAAGTTGGGAATCTGATACACGGATTTATTACTTGCATGAAGCGATCTTGCTTCATATGACATAAGGGGCGAATAAAAAGTTATTTTTCCTCAAAAATTGGTATCGATCTTTCGGGCTCATATAAACTCTGGCAACGTGCTTGTTAGTCTGCTAAGGCTGTAAATTCTGTGAATAGAACTTGAATTATATTATCGTTTGATTATGGTGACTCATTGATTTAAGAACTCAAGTCTTGCCTACTTTACTCTATCCTGGGTGACTGTGTAGTGTCGTGAGACTTGAAAATAATTATGCCGCATGGCCTGTTGCATAAATGTGTACCGAGTTTAGTTGCACTATGTTTACAACTGTTATTATACTTAATACAGTGAATCCAGTCCGTGAAGTCAACATCAACTATAGAGTCCTAGCGTGTCTAGCAGCAGTCAAAAGGATTTGAATGCATGCAGATCCAACAAAATCCAATATCGATAGTGCGAGCGTAGAAAACTGATAGCTTTCTATATCTCGCGTGTAGTTCTTGGGGATAACAACAGAGAGTGAAGGGGTTAAGCACCCTGAACACTTCGCTTATCTGAGAGGTTGGATCAGCTCTGGCTGCTCAGTGGCCAACAAATCCTCTGCACGGATCCAGAGGGCTCGGTTGGCTTTTGCCATCTGCAGCACCGCCGCGATATCCGATTGTCAACTAAAGGTTGAATGTACTGTGCTACAATCCGATCTATTCTGCTGTACGGCTGTAAAACATGGGCATTGAATGTAGAAGACACGAGGCTTTAGATATTGGACCACTGCTGCTTTCGTAGCATGGTCCGTCTTTCTTGGTATCATGACATGAGTAACGCAGAAGTCAGGTGGAGAGTTTTAGGCAGGAGACGTAAGACAGTTGATGTGGTTGTGAACTGTCACCGACTGAGATGGCTGGGACATGTGTTACGTTTGCCTAACGTACGTCTGCCTCGTCACTGTGTTCACCGAAGTAGATTCATCTGGGATATAGGCTTGGGGCGGCCAGACTAAACCATGGTGTCAGTACATGAAGTTGTTGACTGTTGGTGACGTTAATAATATCCTAAATATGCTTGTGGTAAACCATACGAAATGACGTGAATGTCTTACCGTCTTTTAAATGAGTCTACTGAGGGGTTGTGACTACATCCCGCAGTAAGGCATTGTATAAAGCACATACTCTCAAAGAAAAAAATGTAGACCTGAGCCTGGTGTTGGCTCTCTGACGTGCCATCCTGATGGGTTCCCTCGTGATGACCGCCGTGTTACAGGCAAAGCTAGTTTGTTTGTGTGATTTACCTAATGGGTGGTTTTGAAGTCCATAATTAGGTCGCCCCTTCTTCTGCGATAGCCCAAGGTGAATAGGTTTAGGCGTTTGTCTTTCAGAGTATGTCCTCCCCCTAGTCCCCCAACTGATTTTGTTGCAGATGTTTATATTTTTTGTAGTGAGATTGGAGTCTCCCTTGAGTGTTGGGAGTGCCACAGTATTGAAGACATCTAGGTGCGCCCGTACGTAGTATTTGCAAACTGTGAGAAGCATTTCAAAGGTGAGGGCACCAAGCTACCTACGCAGAAAATTCAAAGTGGCTTTCACTCTGGCTGCCATTTCTTTGTATTTGGAGCTAGTGTTCAGGGTGTTTGAGAAGTTAGCCCTAAATGTTTTTACGTGAATACTTTGGTGATTATACAGTTGCTCATCTCGTATTAGAATCAAGCCTTCCTTGCTTCATGGATACTGATGTGCATTACTTTGCACGTTTTCAGGTTGAAACTCAACCGTTTTGCGATGATCAGATTTCAAGCTGCTGCAGGTCATTCGAGATTTTTACAGTCTGCCTTTTCGTTTGCTACCTTCCATATTTTACTGTCATCAGCTGATAGAAAGAGGGCTTGTGAGATTTTGTCTGGCAGATCGTTGACAAACAGGATGAAGAGAGGTGGTCCTAGAATTGCTCATTGGGATACCCCTGACATTGATCGTCTCCCACCTTAGAGCAGATCTGCCTGCCTTCTGCGTACGCTCTGAACCAATAGAGTAGAGGTTCATTTATACCGGCTGACACGATCTTGTGAAGCAGGACTGCGAGCAGAACAATGTTAAGTGCCTTAGTTAGGTCGAGAAAAGTAACATGTACTGGTTTTCTGTTGTTCCAGCTAAAAGTCCAATCGTTCCAGACAGTTAGCAAGTTGGTGGTACATAAACGACCACTCCAAAAGCCATGCTGAGTAGTACTGACTGTTTTTTCTCTGTGATTGGGCATTCGTTATTTATGGTTTGATCAGTGTTTTATTGAACTGTTGCAGATTTAGTGTCAGTACAGTGTCAGTTACACTTCGAAGTGTGAGTTTCTTAAGGTCAGCTATCTCTAGACTGCTTAGATGTTACACATGACAAAACCTTTGAAGCTTCTGATCTGGTTCATGCTTCTATGACATTCGTGACCTACAGGATAGTTTTTAGGTGAATCTCTGGAACTACTTTGCTGGCATGACTGATTACCAGCAGAAAACCCGATGTCTTATATGGATAAGGTTGTAAACCTTCGGCAAATAAGGTGACTTAAACATGTGCTGCGCATACCGAGCCACTGCCTTCCTCAGTGTGCAATGCTGGGAGAAGTCGGATTAGGTCGGAGGAGGCTCAAAGTGACCAAAAAAAGAGTGGTACCAGTTTCCCGAAGTTTGATTGTTGGACTGAATTGTGTAGGGTGTAAACTGCATGGCTTAGGTCCCCGCGGCAACAGAAACGAGTGGTCGGGGGACTGTTGGTGAAGTGGCTGAAGATGGGTCACAATGTCGAAGACGTATTCACTTTCACGTCTTCTATAGCTTGAACATTTTCGTTAACCTTGGTTCTGAAATTTCTTCTCGTCCCATACACGTTTGTTCACTTTGATATCAGTCTTTTTCCGCCCACTTGCTCTCTGCATGTTGTTGTAAAGTATGGTAACTTAAACCGATGAACTTGTGTACGAGGTCAATATCCGTACACGTTGATTGTCTTTCTGCTTGTCCTCTAAGGATAAAATACTTCAGCGACATTGTCTTCAACTACTGGTTCTCTACTTTCTTGAGACAGACTGCCTAAAAGTGATTTTAAAAGTCCTTGGACTAACTCCTCATATCCCGTAAATAATCGAAAAGTACTCTACAGTAAATTTATCATCAGAAATGTATCTGCAATTAATTTAGGAGCTTATAGATGTCTTTAAAAGTGACTTTTACCTAAAAGAACTCCATCTTTTGTGTGATTCTAATTCATTGTTTTAAGGTTGCGTGAGTCTTTGCCTAGACCTTTATTTAGATTTTCGTGAAGAATGTGCCTCTTTCATACTTACACGTATTTCTAGTTATATTAAGAAGTTGGATGTGCTACTTATAGTAAATGCACACTGGAGAGATTTTATTGTTCAAGTAGGATCTGTATGCAGTGTGCATCATAAAACCCCAGGTGGTTAAGTTTATGGCCATGGATGTATGTTGCGTTTGCAAGACATGCACATAGAACCCAAATGGTGTTATTCACCTAACCTCACGTAGTCAAAATGGTGAGCCCGGGAAACTTACGCATAGAGTTTCTCAAGATTCGATGGCTAGTTCTCACAATCTTGCATGTGTAAGCATAGCTTTATATGCTAAGGCACTGCTGGACTGAATCCCAGTTGACAGTTGCGCATGCTCTGTTTTGTTCGAACACAATGAGAACCAAAAAGAGTAATAAAATTCTTCGTTATCTCCTCGTAATCTCTGCTTACACACTCACCGTTTGCAGTTCGGAAGAAGGGAAGGATGGTTTCTGGCAAAAACCAACTAGCCTACTGAAAGCCTAATATTTAGATGGGGTTTCTGTAGTGGGTGATGTCAATGCACAAATGGATAGGCTAAATGAGACTGAAAGGCACTTAGCTATCACTTTCAGAGTCCTAGCCGAACTGAAAGGTAACTGTGGTCACCTGCTGTAGCTGTACTGAGACGACCGTGTGTTTCTGACCGGCGTGAACTTCAAACATGAAAAGAGACACTGTCTAACGCGTCCACTGGCCTCAGCTCAACAGTAGACACAGATGGGCCACATTGCTGTCAGTTATCGCTTGAGAGGGTCGGTGAAAGATTACCCTTCCTTCTGGAGCACGCGTTTGGACCGTGACCAAATATGTCTACACCTAAATCAATGTAATAAAACTATAAACACAAGAACAGTCTAAGCATAAATCGATGATGTAAATACTAAGGTTGCTTCAATGATGAACTGAATAGACAGTTAGCGGAACAACACACTGTTGTTCATGCGATAGAAGTCTGGCGTCTTCTGCAGTTTACTGTAAAAACAACATCACAGACCTTAAGTGACTTTCAGAATGGTATTAGAGAGGATTAGTGGATCTCAGAAGCTACCTGTGAACTAATGAATTTGTATGAATGCATTCCCGTAGGCATCGAACACAATGAACAGCGGAAGCAGCTGAAATCTTGACTGACAAATAGTCTATGTGATGACCGCGAACAGTGGTGGGCAGCGAAAGTTAGATGTATAAAAGGCAGCGACGATAAGTAACAGTAGACAATTGTTTAGATTTATCAAGGAAACTTGGGCGAAAAGCTCAAAGGTTAGTGTGACTGTTATGAAGGATAGATCTGCAGTTCCTTCACAGGGAAGACGACTGCAACAATAAACGAAGCACTTCGAGGAACGGTTCAACGTCTCCAGCCCCTTTTGCTGGCTGTCCAGTCGGATCTTAAGTGGAACCTTGAAATAGGACCCCTAATACTTACAGAAACTGAGAGGGCTGTAAGAAATGTGAAACAAAGTGGAGCAGAAAGTCCAGACAGGTTAGTACCAGAGGTATTAAAGGACAGTGGTCATGGACTTTTGGTCAGATTAACTGGAGTGTTAGCTAGCTTATGGGAGCCAGATATTATCTGTTATTGGTCTCAGTCTCTGGTTGTTCTGGTCTTCAGGGAAGACGAAAAGTCCTCCTGATGAACATAGTGCCTATGATTCAAGGTTGCGCAATCACTGACCTAAGTGGAACAGCGAATCCGAGAAAACCAGGTAGGCTTCGTATCTAGTCGTCAGTGTATCGAATAGATATTCACTCAATAGGCTTTAGAACACAGATACACTTATCGACGACTTCACGACCTGAAGGTGACGTCAAACCGTTGATGGAAAAGTCTTATTATATCGTCTCTCACTGAAAGAGATGCAGAGTAGGTACATAAATCCGTTGAGGGCTCATGTACTTAAACCCCCGTGAGCATGATATCTCCTATAGTGAATTGTCAGGTAAATTGTGTACGTCGAGTGATGTCCGTCGAAAATGTCCACTCCCTCCATTCTCATCCAACCTTATCACAGACGTACTTGTGGCAGTCGCCTTTTCGTCGTCCAACTTCACAAACATTAATCTTAACATAAACTCCTTAACGCATCTGGAGTACATAGGTGACAGTCTTCTGTTTGGTGACCATGATGACAGGATGCACAATGTGCTGAACAGTTTGAGTGGGAATTCGAGAATATCTGTAGTGCGTTTCTCACCAACAACTTAACGTAAATGATTGCTTCAGGACTGGTCTTCAATAGTGTCCTGTTTAACAAGTCAAATGGTTCAGCGTATTGAGGACTTCATTCACTTAGAGAGTGCATTCAGTCCTGGTGGATCGGTAGCCCATGAAGTTTCTGCACGGTTGCAAAAGGTTTGTCCGATTTCCACCAACTTACGCCATTTATGGCACTGCTGCGATATCCAACTATCTATTAAGCGTGGAGTAACATGCTCTGCACTTCGCTCTGTCCTACTTTATGGCTGTTGAAACATAACCATAAAAAGGTAGAGAGTATGAGAAGGCTTCAGACATTTGACTGTAGTTGCCTTCCTGACATAAGCTGTGTATCATGCTGTCACCGCATCACTATTTTAGAATTCAGGTATAGGGTTTTAGGAGTAGAGGGATTGTGAATCTTCATTGACTCAGGTGGCTGGGACATCCGTTACACATACTCAGTCATCGTCTATCCCGTCCCACGATATTAGGTTAAGTAGAGAAGGTGAGGTTGGAAAAGGGTTAGATGTAGTGAAACAGAAAAATGGTAACAGTCCATGAAGTTTTTGACTGTTTGTCTGAGGCGTGTAAGGGAATGTAGACTTCCTGGTTGTAGTCCACATGACATGAGAGACCGGTGGGTTAGAGTTTTTTTGATATTGTTAGGGTCGATCGCGGTGGGGAAGATGCATCTTCACATTCCTTTCATCTTATCCATCATCCCGACTGTGGTGGTTTTCTCCTTCCCCCTTGTTGTCTCTTTATGATTTTTGACACTGTTGACTTCTTCCTTCCTTTTCCCTTTATTTTTGACTTTGATGCTTTCTGGGTTGATTCGAGGTGTGATGATAGGGAGCGTTACACAAGCATGTCAGTTGCATTGTTGACAATGACCGACTGAGTGACACTTCAATGGATCCTCAAGAATGCAAAACTTTACATTTCCTTTGTATGGTGCCTTAATATACAACCTACTGTGCTTGACGACTTACGACCTTTTTATTAAACATGAAGGGTACTAATAAGTAGTAAATTTCAGTGTATGCAGAGTGTTTTCACAACTGAAGTTAGTGGGTATGTCGTTGCATTGCATAGGCATAACAGTCATTCTGTTTAACTTTATGGTGACCGTATCTACTAAATCTAAATACACTAAAGACCAACTGGATTTGTATATATTTTTTCTTTTTCAGGATATGGGCCGCAAGAAAATCGAAATAAAATTTATTAAGGATGAGAAAAATCGTTTGGTAAATTACCTTTTTGCCAATTAAATTCATTCGCTGTTTCTCTACATAATTATAGGTCACATTTGCTAAGCGTAAAAGTGGTTTATTCAAGAAAGCCTATGAACTGAGCGTGCTGTGTGAATGTGAAATCGCCCTGCTGGTGTTTACACGTAGTAATCGTCTATATCAGTACGCTAGTGTTACTGTGGATCACGCTTTACAACGACTAAAAAAACATCACCGTGCGAATGAATTCCTTAGTAATTCTGACATGGAAAGGGTAAGTAAGTTTAGTGAGTCTTTCTATTTTACGTATCATATAATTCTTAAAGCACATGTTTCCCGTTGTTTCCACTTGTACAACCTGTTTAAATTGGGTTTCGTAGATGAAAATATTTTAATCCATGTTATCGGTTGAATTTCTCATGAACAATCACCTGTTTGTTACTATCGGTTTGTCTCTAAACTTTTCTCTTTCGTTTGAAACTTGCAGGGTTCCGGAAATAACTATTTCGAACTACCAAGTCTTACTTCACATAGGTACTAGAAGAAAGTAAAGTCTAGGCTTCTTAATTTGATTCTTTGTAGTTACCTAAACTCATGATTAGCGTGTATCCTTATTCCATTCATTTCTTTCTAACTTTGTGTTGTTCCTTTTTACCACAAGAGAGATTTATATTTTGATCTTTTTATGTTTGTAACTTCGAATTCGATGTGCTGATATGAAGTGTTTCAACCCAGGACCGATGCATACTTATGCTGGATCCTACTTTTTATTTGTCTGTCAAGTATTAGGGTGGATTAAAACCAACAAGACGATTTTTTTTAGTTTCACTGTGAGCATCTGTTATACCGTACGAATTCTGGGGACAAAAACACCAACTAAGCACTAAAAAGCCACACAACAATGTGGTGACTCATTCAAGTGGTTCCCATACCCAATAGCATAAAAAAGTCAGTAAAATACAGAAAATGTTGAGGTCAACCTAAAGATAAATGTAAGGAGGTGGAACAGCATAGGTGGAAAAAGTAAGTGATTAGTATTTGGAGAATAATAGAATGATATATTAGCGCATCTTCGTTTCGCCACCAAATGAACTCCTGTAGTCTGTTCAGGTTTTTACCATCTTTAGTGGGAGGTAGTTTTTAGATATTTGTGACAAGCTTGGTACGGCGGCACGTTTGTGTAGGCGGTCAACTGTCAACCGGTCGATTACGAGCTCAAACCCCACTACTATTTGCTGTTTAGTCAGCCGATCAGCATACTTGACTTCCAACTGATGAGTCATGGGTTCAAAGCCACCTCCACTTACTGAGGTTTAGGAGGCCAGATAGTATCATAAACCCTTACACAATAAGTGTGGCTCATTACCTACTGCAAAAAGGTGCACGCGTTCGCTGAGTGTATTTGGGTCAGTATCATAAGCCCTCATGCTGTCGGTGTTACTGATCGCCTAGTGCAATGCCACATACACAGTTGAAGAGAAAGTTCTTCTTATGGACATCTCGACCACATCATTCGATCCAGATCCATAAAGTCAATAATAAACCTATGTCCCTTGTCCAACTCTAAGAATGTATGTTTAGCTGAGGCTTAAAAGCGCTGATATTTGAATACGCGCACTCTTCTATGTTCACTAACCATAGCGGACTGCTGTCTAGCGCGACAGTGAGCACCACTACATTTTACAATAGATACTGGAGGTATTCGTACGGTGTATGTGGAATAAACGTTTTAGGTCAGTACATTTCAGTTGAGCCTTCTGTATCTCATAGAAGATTTAATCGACCAATATCTCAGGCAGTAAACTGGTTATATGAAGTCACTTTACTGTGCATTAGAGGTTGTGCTCAGTTAGTACGACTGACTGACTCCTATTACTATATTATTTCTAAACCAAGTGTATCACACTGTCCTGTTTGTTTTCAGCTGTCTGGATATGAAACGGTTTATGATAAGTAGTTAGTCATATACATTCATCATTATATTTGTTACAGACATACTGATTAAAGCAGTTGACCGAGCTGTGGAGCTTTGTTTTAGATATTTGACTGTCATCCGGTAGATTGTGAGGCATAGCCCTGTCCCACCTGCTGTGATTTGATCATCCAAGTAGCATCAGCAGTCCTCACGCATTAGCTGTTACCTTATTGCATAATGCATAAACCTGTACATGTTTCATGCTAAGCGTGACTGAATATTAGGCAACTACTATAAAAAGTACTCACTTGATCTACCAACCATACTTTCTGATAGTTTACGTATAAAGTGGTTTTCGTAATAGACTTGTTATCCGTGGCATTGACAGTTTAACGTAGAACTGTATACACAAGTGAGTGAGTCACTTCAAGTTGCCATTCTGCACAACAAAAAGAAAGCAAAGGAGCAAAAACAGAATGGTATTAAACTTAAAAAGGAGATATAAGTAGAAAATAGCAATTCTCTGAAGGTAAATAGAATGTCGGAGATTTCGAAGATTGGGGTATATCTGTCTCATTAAGAAAGATTCTAACCCATCCCACTAAATGCCTACAACCATTGATTCTTAACATCAGATTGGGAGACTGACTTTTTTTATGGATTTCTTCCAAGTCGGTTTATCATCTACATCGATTTGTCAAACATGATATCACACTGTTTTTTTCGTTTATAGTCCCGAAAAAGCATATTCGAATAAACAATATAACTAAGTATAATCGTTTTTATATCATACCGTCGTTGATTGGAACTAATTGATCGGTCTCTGTTGGCATATGGGCTCCTGTACGGATGCCTCGATATTGCCAGCGTTCTAATTATGTTAATGATGGATCGTGGCTAGCAGTGGAATCCGGTAGGAACAATATCACTCACTGGGAAGCAGGTACATCCAGCTGACAAGTCCCAAATGGGACGAAATGCGCATCCTGGATTCCACTGCTAGCCACGATCCATCATTAACATAATATAATTAAGCTTATAAATATCCAGGCCATATGTAATATTAATTTGAGCACGGAACTGAGTGAGATCTTTGCAACATATTATTGGTGAGAACATGGCCTCTTTTGTAATTGTAGTCTAGTTTCTTAAATACGCCGGAAAAGTAAGTATTTCCCATCATTTCAGTATTACTGAGAAAATATATCTAATATCAAGTCTTCCTAGCAATGTGTAAACTGTAATTAACGATGGCATACTACCACTCATACGTTCGCTGCTTATGTGCTGTGTTCTGACACATTTCACCAAAAATATGCTATTTCAAAAATCTTTAGTTGGAATGGCTCGTATTTAATATCCTCAAGTTTTCACAACGTTCCAGTTTTCTCGTGATGCGGATGTCTTTAAGCATGATGTCTGTATTCTCTTTGTGTCTGTCTGATTTCTTGATAGCCTTATTTTTTATACTCCAAATTTCAAAACGTGATTCGACAGTTAGCTCATTTAACTAAATAACGTTTGAAAGTAGTTGTCTTATTTAGATGTTGATCACTGTGTGGATTTAAAGTACAGTATGTTTGGACTGGCGTTTTTGGTTTATATTTTTTCAATATCATTGGTACATTTTCACAATCGGCTGTTGTTATTATTTACCGTAATATTATGTAAATTCACCTATCTGAAAGGAAAAACACTTAAGTCTGAAAACATTTGAATACAACCATCATTTCGTGTGGACGGCTATACTTTTGTCAACTGTTATGACACTGAAAAGATGGTTATGAATTGCTCATTCACTTGACAGTTAAATAGAACTCTTGGTAAATAAATAAAAATAGAGATGTGATTAGCATTTGCGCTCCACAGCTCAATCTGTGATTCGCCTTAGTAGCACTGTGGAGATCACCGGTTCAAGTCCTTCTATGATCCAAGTTTTCGTTTACGCTTCAATTATCATTTTTGCACCGAAGACCAGTTTTGGCAACAAAGATGATCTCATATCGGTTAATCAACACCTACCTTGTCCAGTACTTGACCTGTTTGGTTGATTATTGTTTTAGCTGACAAAACGCCGTATGAGACCAAATTGTAATGGCCTCGGGATTACACCTCAACAGCCTTATTCGAATATTAAGAATGAAGAAAGCAACAATGGTGATGATGATGACGATGAGGATGAAGAAGAAGAAGAGGAGGAGCAGAATTCTATGCTGAATGTAAAACAAATGAACAACAACTGCAACAACACCATCTGTCAGGTTGTCGATGTGAAAAAACAAGAATTTGACCAGGTTGATATGCAATCATCTAATGTCAGGTTTGTCATTGACACGCAGCCAACATTTAATATCCATTCTCAACGATCAATGACTATTGTGGGAGAAAATCATATGCGGCCGGTAAACACCTTGAGTTTACCACCTAATCCTCTGATTTCATCAACAAACACAACGACAAGCGAATATTTAACCCATATTCAACCCGTTCTTTCTTCATATACATCCAATACGCAACTCCCGTTCTCCTCCGATTCACACTTAGTTCAGTATCACAGACCATTACACCCATCAACTGAGTGTTCTTCAACAGCCCCGTTTACCTGCAACAACCATATTATCAACTCAAAGGCAAGCATTTTGTGTGATCTGATTTTAAGAATTTTTTCAGCGTAATATTTTCCGACGACTATAGATAATCTCATTAGGAAGTATAAAGTTAAAAGTAGAATTTTTCTCGTAATACTTGAAAACTGCATTATAATCTAAAGTTGGCATTCTTCATGGACTGACATAGGCTGGAGTAACATTGGAAACCTGGGAGCATTGGGAAGCTGTTTCGTCCTAGTATGGGGCTTCTCAGCAGTGCGCATCTATGACCCGCCCACCATGGGTCAAACCCAGGTTCCATGGCAGCATGTTACCATTGTAATTTGTGTCCTAAGGTGAATGGTGATATGTATAATAGCTTTAAATTAGAACTGCTGATTTTTCATCATTCGTACTACTGGACTGTTGTAAATTTATCAAGTAGAGATCATCTCGTAGTGTATTTTAGATAATTACTAGTTCTTGGTATAAAAGTCACCATTCGCAACTATACCCCAACTAAAGTTGTTAAACTTTATGCAACATGAAGTGAATAGATATTCTCTGAAGGTTAGCCAGAGGTAAAGTCATATCGTGGTAGAATTGGTAGTAATTCAGTCTTACTTGGTGTTGGGGTGGAAATATTACTCAAAGGAGGCAATTAGAATACCTATGACGCACGCATCAGTGAGCATAGGATTTGAACAGTATTTCATCGATTCAAGCTCATATATTCCTAATCAGAATAGAAAGGGACCGAAAATCTAGGGATTAATTAGTGAAAGAATGGTATGTGAAATTTTATATTCAGCCTTATTATTTAAGTATTAGACGGGAATCGTGTAAATGAACACTCGTTTGAAGAGAATGAATATACACCTATCTCTGAGCCAATTATTCGACGAATTTCACTTTGTCAACAGTAATTTTAGATATTGAAGTAAATAATTACCTCAGAGATAGAATTACATACAAAGTTTTAACTATCATAATGTGGCTTTAAGATATTTATCAGGAAACGATTTGACTCGTCGAGTGTAAAAAAAGATGCTACGCAACCAGTCATTTTCGCTTCTCTCCTAAACAGCCGAAGCTAGCCAAGTTAATTGATTTGTGAAGCAAATGTGGTGATAAAAAACTTCATCATGGAGTCACACTTACTACAATTACTCGCATTTATTTGATACTTTATAGTGTGCTATTCTAGTTCTGTCCCTGACGGGACTAAGTTTAGAAATACATCTTTTCTTATTTGATGGCTGTATCGGTTTGCCTTGGAATGATGGTGTACATGTTGCCTAAAGCAGCCGAATGTTGCTTACATAAAAATCTTCTATACTTATTAGTTGGTTGGAGGTAATCAGCAAGAAATTCTGGACCTAGGTTTCGTGCTTGTTGTCACCTGTCAGCAAGGGGTGTTTGAAACCTCAACAGAAGTTGTGCCCCCTGTTAGCTTTGAACCCATGTCACCCAGTGTTGCAGTCGGTGACATTATCACTAAGCTATTCGGGCAGAATATGTTAATAATTATTTGTTAATTAAAATTTGGTTGTTCTGTAATATTTAAAAATAACTCTATACATTCTGTATCTTTTCTTTTCAGCCGTTGTCTGCTGCTTCGCTGAAGTCAACCAATCAACGTAAGTGAAATTGTTTTTGTATAAAACTTTGTATAATTTTCACATCGTCTTTTAAATATCCTCATTTAGAAATTTGGAATAAAGACTAGTCTGCTTAACCACTGCTATCTCAGATAGTCAAAATGATAATCAATATAATGCTCCCCTCTCTAATTCAGATTTGGATTGGGATGAGAAGTCCTTCCTGACTAGGCAGCCAGTAAGAATACATTCAAGCGGTAGTAACGCGTCACAAATTCATGTGTTAGACGGGCATAACCCTTGGTGATTGAAGTGAAATAAAAATCCAGTCAGCAGTTGGGCCTCGTAGCTCAGTTAGTAGACAGCACTGGGATGGAAATCCGGTTGTCGCTGGTTCGAATCCGACCGCTATCCGAAATTTTCATTTCACCTTCAATCATCATCCAGGATCAAAGACTGATTTAACAAGTAAATATTTCTCTTGACTCTGCTCCCAATCATTCGTTCTGCATTAGTGTACAGGTTTCAACAATTAGTAGCGAAACAGAGAGTTTGTGGTGTTGGCTTTATTAACAGTGGTTATGAACTCTACTCATCATCACTAGTTAATTGAATAAGTATACAGAATAATGAATGGAATAGTTATGCAAGGTTAACAAACTGTGTAGAAATGCAGTAAGAACAGGTCTTTTGTTACTTTAATTCGCTGGCCACGGTAACAAGTGAGATTGCACAAACCTCTTTGGATACCAAGATTTAGTTTATATGTATGGTGATCATTTCGGTTGTTTGTAGCAGATACATGGATAAGCCATTAGTAAGATTTACTGGTCATGATCCACGTAATATGTGGTATTACTGTGTAACAGTTTATGTTGTCACACCTTTTAGCAGCGCTTCAACCCAGAAAGCATCAAAGTCAAAAATAAAGAAAAGAGGAAGGAAGAAGTCAACAGTGTCAAAAATCATAAAGAGACAACAAGGGGGAAGGAGAAAACCACCACAGTCGGGATGATGGATAAGATGAAAGGAATGTGAAGATGCATCTTCCCCACCGCGATCGACCCCTAACAGTATCAAAAAAACTCTAACCCACCGGTCTCTCATATCATGTGGACTACAACCAGGAAGTCTACATTCCCTACACGCCTCAGACAAACAGTCAAAAACTTCATGGACTGTTACCATTTTTCTGTTTCACTACATCTAACCCTTTTCCAACCTCACCTTCTCTACTTAACCTAATATCGTGGGACGGGATAGACGATGACTGAGTATGTGTAACGGATGTCCCAGCCACCTGAGTCAATGAAGATTCACAATCCCTCTACTCCTAAAACCCTATACCTGAATTCTAAAATAGTGATGCGGTGACAGCATGATACACAGCTTATGTCAGGAAGGCAACTACAGTCAAATGTCTGAAGCCTTCTCATACTCTCTACCTTTTTATGGTTATGTTTCAACAGCCATAAAGTAGGACAGAGCGAAGTGCAGAGCATGTTACTCCACCCTTGATAGACAATGAGATATCACGGCGGCATGCTGTTAATAGCAATGGTGATATGGCTCAGAACCGAAGTCAGTGGCGCAGATGTATACACACATTATCCTCATCTTAACAACGCTATACCGAATCTCACCATTTTGTCACTCCTCTTTCTTTTCTTTTCGTACTTTATATTTCTTTTGACTGCATTAACTTATCTTCATCTTTCGCCTCACTACCTTTTTACTTGATGTGCTGATATGAGGTGTGGCAACTCGGACCGTTACGCAGTAATGCCTGGTCCTATGTTGATAATGATGATAATAGCAATGGCGATTATAAAACTGATTACTTTTTTGGACCTTATATGGTGATCTGAAAAGTTAAAAGTCTGTTAAAAGTCCTATGTTAAACAGTTGACAAGCACAAATGGTGACCTCATGTCTATTGAAGTATAGATTATTAGGCGGTAGTTTCATCATAGTCTGGTCTTTGTTGTATGACGTTTTGCGTTCGAGGTATTAAACCACTGCTCTCTTAGAACTCATCTACAGTGTGAGCGTACAAATTCTGTTGTGATCAGAACTCAAACTATCAGTTTTGTTACTGCCGGAACTGTATAGTTTTATTTTGATGAACCACTTGTGATAACTTGATACAATGCTACGTTTCCACTATTGTTGTAAGTTTCACTATATTTAGGGAAACAAACAGAATCAGCGTAGAGCCTCACAAATAAGTACATCGGTTGAAGGTGCATCGCTCCACAGTAGTATACAAAGAACAGGTGGATATCAAAATAGACAGAGTTGTATGGGAGTATAAACAATTTGAATGTAATGGGTAGTGCAAATATTGAAGCATTAGATGTCAAGAAGTGATCGGTTTCCAACCGTGTCACCAAAAGTCCTCAACTGCTGATTCCTTCCTTCTGAGAGACCTCAACCAGACAATTTACAACTCTCCACACGGCTTAAACCGACATTTAGGGACTTAATGAACTAGTGGCAGGTGTTGGTCTGGCCACCCCTGAATCCTCTTCCAACTATATTGTGATTGTCCTACTATGTGGCGTGAAGGTGGGCAGTGGCTCGGCATTGGAAGGAGATTTTGAAGCCACGTCAGCAGATGAAGGTTCACACCTTCATGATTAGACTTGGATATATTGCCTAGTGCGTTTCACTTGCTCACATGGTGATTTCGGTAAACGCAAGGTGTGCTAGAAGACATTTGTAGTAATTTGTTCATGTCTTCTACTTCCAACGGTCACGTCTTACAGTTGTATTAGCAGAACAGAAGGGACTGCAGTGCAGTATACTCATCGTTCGGTAGTTAGTCAGATATGTGGCTAGTCGGCTCTAGAGGTAGGTGATGCATATTGACAAATGCGAGACGGGCCTTTTGTTCTTGAGGTGAGATTTGGTCAGCCACCATCCGTTTTGAGGAGGGGGGGCTGATGGAAGTCTCCCAACGAAGTAAGTGGAGTGGTCGAGAAATTCCACCACTTGAATGCCTATCATTAAGCTTGGAGTGATTGCAGACCAGTTGTGGTGCATCATATTGTATTTGCGAGGTGTGAGTGGGATGGCAAAGATACTCAGATTTTTTTTTGGGTATTGAGGAAGCCTGAATTTTGTGAGGGTTCTCATGTAGCAGGATAATTCTGTCTGTGTACTTCAGATCATTGAGGCGATGTCCAGGGTGTAGATGAATCCATGTGTGGTGCGATGTGCCTAATGTAATGTTATATCCATTAGTACGTCTATGATGAAGTTAAATAACAACGGTGACTACGGGTACACTTTTACAGAGTCTTAAATCTAGATAAGACAGGTGTGTATTACTGCCTTGATTTTGATAGGCGGCCGGTTGATATTACTTGGTCATCATAAAATATCCATCAAATATTCTCTTTGTGCTTGAATTAAATGTCATTTTGTGCTTTTTTATGCTCAATACGTGAGTAAAATGTTTCTCTATATCCAATTTTATTTATTAAAATTTATTCTTGTAGCTCTAAATCAAGGTAACAACATTCTGCTCTCAGACCAACCATCTATGCCTTACCTTATTCATCATTCATCTAGTGCTCACTCAGTGCTACCAGCGAATTGTTCAAATAGAAACAATGGACACTTAGTTGACGATTCATTTATGAATAGTTCTTTGACACATTCTTACTGTAATGCAACTGTTATGAATTCAAGTGCCTCTCATAATTTTCCTACTTCAAATACATCGGGTCCAACACAATGTACATTATTAACACCGGTTCCATATACCCAAGAATTGAAAGCTGATCAACCTATTTTCATCTTATCATCCGTTGTTACTAATAATACCAATCATAAAATTCTGAATGCAAATTTAAACTCTTCAATTACTGTTAAATCAGAAAGTAAGTGTTAACCGTTATTTTATTTATTTTAACTGATTACACATCAAATGGAGTAGTGATTGATGAATGTTGTCTCAGTCCGTTTCCTGTAGTTACAAGCGTAACAGTCTCAGTTAAGTATTTTTTTTCCTTCTTAACTTTGATACTGTAATGCGAAAATTAATGTGACCAGGAATCCCTTTACAAGCTAGTTTAGAAGACAGTGAAGTGAACCTATTGTGTAAAAGTTGTGATATTATCCAGCCGCCTAATTCTTGGCAAATGGAACAGAATATGAACTCATGACTTACTGACTGAATGTTTGTTTCTTTATTCAATGAGCCACAGATGCACTTTGATGTTGCTGAGATCGATACTTCTTGAGGGTAAATAACTTTCCAGCGTTTAGATCACTTTGAAGTAGGTGGTAAGATAGACTAAATAGTGTGTGTATTATCTAACCGTCTGTATCTTATAAGTGTATACTGGTTATAGAATCTACTTATTACCACTGAGTGTAATGTATTCAGTATATGGATGAATAAAGAGAAACAGGTATCATTGATAATCTGAGCACTTAAGTTAGTCATTATCAACGTGGGACTTGTCATCATTATGTAACAGTCTAAATTGCCACAACTCCCATAGGATCATCCGGATACAGGGCATCGAGATGAAAAGTATCGGAATCGAAAAGACAATAGTAAAGTGGTTGGAAGTCTTAAAAAGGAAATAAAGGAGGTGAAACAATAACAAACTTCAAAATGACGATTGGGGTACATATAATGTGTAGATGTATCCGCGTCGTTGCTATCTTTTCTGAGTCGTATCACCTAGAATCTACTAATGTCCGTTTTGTCTGGCTCATGGACTCAAACCTGGAGACCTTCACCTATTTTTTATATGGCTTAAAGCAACAGTTACAGAATTCATAGACTGGTCACCTTTAACCTTCCTTCTAGACTAACCCTACTTCTTCAAAGATAGGACGTGGCAGAGGGTGCACAGACACGCATATCACATGTTATAGCCATTCTAGTCATTGAAAATTTACAAACCTCATGAAACAAGTCACTTCCTTTGCCTAATACTTTAAGTCTGACCTCTACATTATTGACATGATGGTTCTACAACATGGTTACATGTAGAGAATATTTTCTTCGGTACGCGATCATAAGAATACTACGTTTACGTTTGAAAAAAACTAACATTTGTGCTTAGCGTGACACTTTCCTGCCACAATCTTTTGTTGTACGGAAGTAACCTCTACACAATTCTGAGTAGTATTTCGGTTTACTTTTAAAGTCAAACAGCATTCATTCATTTTAGATCATCTACGTGAGTAATTACGTATTGCAACGAAATATTCAGTAAAGTCATAACTGGTCAGTTTCTGCAATAAGTTATTGTTTGAATGTGATTCTTTTTACTTCACCTCAATCCCTTTTAGATAGCAGAAAATTGTAAATTATAATATTCAAAAGAATATTTCGGATAATCTTCACGCATAGAAAATATAGAATAGTGCTGGCCACTGAAGCTGAAGGTCCTAGGTCCGATTCCTGGCGGAGTCATGGGTGCGAACTGCTGAGAAGTCCCATACTAGCACAAAATAGCTGTCCAGTGCTTCAGAGTCCCCGATGTTCCTTCAACTGATGTTAGTATATGATGAATATCAACCTGAAATCAATAAATAAATCCCCACAAACCTCTGAATTGTATAGAATAGTAAACCTGGATATCTGTTTATTAGGGTGGAGATAATTACTATTGTTCTTTGTCGAAATAATCACTAAAATTGGTGAAAGAACTCAAGTAATGACTAAATTCAAACTAACTGCATCGGATTTCCACAGTTCATAACCCTCATGATGGACGTATGATATTCAACCAACCACTGGTTAAATCCTAACTTAGCCTTCGTTACTCTATGGTGCCAGCTACCCAGTTGTAGCTCAACCTGTTGAGTGTAGGGTCAATTTACTGAAGATCTTAGGCTCATATTTTACCGCAACTCAGGCTTTCTTTCCCGTTCAATCATGACTAAGGTTTTCTTCAAGTTCACGCATAATTTTATTGTTCTTTAGGCTTATTTTCAAAGTCGGCGATATGCTTCTGGTCATTGCCATCACTGTAGTTTCCCAAGTTAAATTAAGTCATAATTATTTGTTAGTCCACACTTAACTTTTATTGTTTTGATCTGACTTATTGAAGATGTTTTATAGTTTCTTTTGTCGTCATTATTTTCATATAATTTCATATTTTCAAGTAACTACTGAAAGTGAAAAAGTGTCTATTGAACTACACAACTTGTATGTGTGTATATGTGCTTATGTTCTCTTTCCTTCGTATTCTAGAGTTTGCATACTAGCTTAGTGGATAGTTTCTGTAGGTTTTTAATCACCTTAACTGTTAAGTTGCATGTGAATTCACAAAACGAATCATTCCGAAGATTCAGTTGATCGATTCAAATAAAGACTTTAATTTGCTTGATCCCCTTTTATACAATATTACGAGAATGCATCTTAAACTAATCCTATCAAAATGCCATAAATGTGGTGAAAAAAGCCCAGCTGGTATTGCTTGTTGTTAGGTGATCAAAAACTGTTTGTGTGAATTGAAGATTCACTATGTTATGCTACTTTAATAAAACTGCTTAGATGCTGTATTGTCTATTATAGCTTCTCTTTAAACATATTGATGAGAAGTTACATATACTCCGTTGCTTTTACCGGTGTTATTGTTCACAGAATCTACGTGATTATTTATCTTGGATCTAAACATTAACAGGATCCAGTTACCATACGAAAAGTGTGGTCGCCTGTTCTATGTTTATTTCTTAGATCCAGAATGTAAACAAGACATATATTTATGCATCCACTTGCCGGCATTATATAGTAATGACTTGTACTACAATCTAGGAACATAACAGTGAATATTACCATCCCTAAAACACTAGAGATAAAACTTTCAAATGCTGCCTTTAGTCAATTTCTCTTCAGGTATTTGTTCTATTTACTATGTATTTGATTTCATAGATGAAAAATAACCAGATGTAGGGTTTTATTATAACACAATAGACTTAAATAGTTATATTAATGTAATGGAAAAACATGGGCACTTTGGTAGAGTATGAATCCATATTACATTGTTTATTTGATGTAGCACACAGTGACAGTATAATTTACTGGCTGATGTTTCGAGAAGAATTTGTTGCTCAAATTCATATCAAAGTATTTATGTGACTTTCAAACTTCCTTTATATAGCCCAACAGTTCATTCATTTAAAACAGTTAATCCCTTTTATTAATTTCGGTAGCCTAATTAGAAGACGAAGCTTATCTGAACAATGTGATGTATTTGAGTAATACATTTCGAACAATCTAATCACACATTTACTTGTCAAGTCATTGTATATTTAACCGAGTACTGGGGGGACAAATACAACAATTAACACAATAGGGGATTAAAATTAAGAAAGATGAGAACAAACAGAAAGTGACATAGTTGATCCTAATCTTGGTAAGAAAACAAGGTTTACCAAGGTAGGTGTGGTGTAAGAACAAACTTTTTTTGTACACATTAAGGTGGTTTAAATTTTCGTATGCTATCGCCTCCGCAAATCTCAGAATACGTCCCTGACTGTTTCTATATAAAACTTTGGAAGCTGTTTCAACAATAATTTTGTGACCTGTTTCTGTGATATGTTTAGCTATAGATGAAGAGAATCGCCTCCCACCAAGGTTAATCAACGTTTTATTAGACCTCGCTTGTATTGTCTACTGAATAGACAACGCCGTACAAACTCTCATCAGCCTGACATGTGAGAAAGAGAATAATAATCAACTGCCATTCCTAAATATACTCCTGAGTCGACGAGATGGTTCAATAAGACGGTCAGTTTACAGAAAGCCTACATGAACAGGACAATACCTGGATTTTCAGTTTTTGTCCAATCCAATACAAGCAAGGTCTAATAAAATGCCTATTTAATAGGATCTATCGTATCAGTACATCAGATGCGATATATGGAGACATCAAATTACTGACCCAAGCTCTTATAGAAAATGAGTATCCGATGGAGTTTATAAACCGTTGTAGAGGTCAAGTAGCACCAAAGCCAACTCTATAGACGGTCCATAAGAAAAGTGTCCTTATGACTCTACCATACAGAGGGGAGTTGAATAGTATATCATTTTGAGACGTAGGCTGACATAAGCCATTAAGGGAACACATTACGCGGCGAATCTTATCATTTTGGAGAAAACAAAACACATATTTCACCAGAAACCTAAACACTGCATCAATGATTACGTCTCATCCCATTGTGTTTACCAATTTACATGTGTGTATGGTCACATATACATGGGGAGGAGTAATCGAGTCATGCAGTTGAGGGTGAGAGAACATGTGCCTAAATGGCTACAAAAACAAATGGAGTATGAAACCTTGATTAACCTTGGTGGGAGGCGATCCTCTTCATCTATAGCTAAACATATCACAGAAACAGGTCACAAAATTATTGTTGAAACAGCTTCCAAAGTTTTATATAGAAACAGTCAGGGACGTATTCTGAGATTTGCGGAGGCGATAGCATACGAAAATTTAAACCACCTTAATGTGTACAAAAAAAGTTTGTTCTTACACCACACCTACCTTGGTAAACCTTGTTTTCTTACCAAGATTAGGATCAACTATGTCACTTTCTGTTTGTTCTCATCTTTCTTAATTTTAATCCCCTATTGTGTTAATTGTTGTATTTGTCCCCCCAGTACTCGGTTAAATATACAATGACTTGACAAGTAAATGTGTGATTAGATTGTTCGAAATGTATTACTCAAATACATCACATTGTTCAGATAAGCTTCGTCTTCTAATTACGCTATCGAAGTTCATTCATTTATTTTAATGAGGGTAAAATTTTCGATATATCTATAATATGTGATGAATCATTCCCGTTATATGTATTAGGTGTTGTCGTATAGGGAAGGTGCATCGGAAATTTTACGTAGAAATCTTAA